TTAATATCCTCATTAGAAGAGTAGTAAAAACACTCAAGATCTACAGATCTGAGAGACTAAATTCAAATTTTGTTTCGAATGATTATAAGTTTGGAAATTATTTGAAAAAAAAAAAAAACAAAATAAATAGAGAGGGATGGAAAGAAACCACCACCGACCAAATCTAGGCTCCGACTCTCTCTTCTTGTGTTCTTTTATATTTTTTTTAAACCACCGCCAACCAAAGAAGACGGTCGGCGGTGGTTTAAAAAAAATATAAAAGAACACAAGAAGAGAGAGTCGGAGAGAGATGTCTAGGCTTTTCTTATGAGTTCATATCCTTTTAAATAATGAAACTAAAACTAAAAAAAAAAAAATATAATATTAGATGTTTCCGCTTGGAGTTGATCTTAACAAAAGATATAAATTTTTATAGTAACAACTAGTCCGTTAATTGATTTGGATGTCAAAATAATAATTCATCTGGATCTTCTATAACTGGATGGCTTTTCCAATAAATTGTAACATATGACAAATACAGACGAGTTTCCGCTGCTGTGCATAATTTCTAGTCTGTTAATTGATTTGGACATAAAATAATAATTCCTCTGGATCTTCTATAACTGGATGACTTTTCCAATAAATTGTAACATATGACAAATACAGATGAGTTTCCGCCGCTGTGCATCAATAGCATCAATAGAGGAACAGGTCGCATTACATGCTCCATCAATTGAAGACCCACACCTGCAAATCAAGATCTAAAGTCTCTAACTAAATACCAAATAAAATCAAATATCATAGTTTTATTTAGTAATAAACCCTTACAAGAAGGGACTATCCTCAGAAAGAAGGAACAAAAAAAACTCCAAATATGGAGACAATCAATCATGACAAAAAAAAAAAAAAAAAAAAATCATGACAAAAAAAAAAAAAAAAAAAGAAAAGAAAAGAAGAATCTGCTTGTAGGGAAAAAAATCGAGCAGAAAAAAAAAAAAAAAAAAAAGAAAAAGAAAAGAAGATCTGTTGTAGGGAAAAAAATCGGAGTTTAGTAAACCAAACAAAGATTAAAAGCAAAAGAAGAGGAAACAAAAGAAATAGTAGAAAGCAGGAGGTAAGACTACCACCGATAAACAGCGGCAGCCCCAAACTAAATCTAGAGAGAAAAGAGAGAAAGTGAAATATGAAGCTATTGTATTCTCATAGATATAAACTTAAGAACCAACCTTCCAATAAGTACCCAACTAATTAATTTAAAGTGTAAGCAACCAAAATTAAGTATTTCAAATTAATTCTCTAATTATAATCACAACTTGAACATTCATTCATAATCGAATTTTGTTTAATCAAATTTATATGCTAATGAGATAGATTTCGTATTAATTTATTTTAAATACTGGTTAATGCCTATGTAAAATGTTGTTTAAATTGAGTTCTATCATATTATGTTTAGATTCTTAAATTTTATTTTAGCTATTGAATCTTTAAGTATTGAATTTTACATTGTAAATTCTAAGAGTATTAATTCAAAGATTATATTGTATTGAATTCATTTGAAATATATCATTTTACATTTTGAAGACGAATTTTTTCTTTTTGCTTCCTGTCCAGAAGCTCAAACATTTTAAGAATTTAATTTGATTTATTTATTTTATTTTATCTCATATTTGAGAGAAATAAAAATTACTAAAATTTAATTCTCAGAAATTTGGAAAATGAATCATTTACAAGAATTCAATTTTTTAATAAATTAATGGTGCATATTTGGTAGTATTGTCAAAACGGGCCTAAGCCCGCAGACAGCCTATGATCGCCTGTAATTTGTTCGAATCTAGACAAAAAAATTGCTACCCATTTTTTATCAAAGCTAGGGCAGACCAGGATAGATAGGTCCATGGGACCCGATTTAAAACAATATATATGTATATATCATAAAATTTAAAATAAAAAGGGAATAACAATTTAAAATTTATATAGACCAACTGAGAAAGCTTGATTCCCTTTTTTTTCCACATCATGGCTCTTCCGATAGACATATAAAGCCAATAGAAATTCAATAAAGTAGTCAAGTTAAAAAAAAGAAGGAAAAAGATGGACTCTCAAAACGGATATGTCCGGGCACGTGACCATCCGTAGGTCAGCCAGGCTTGAATATTAGAGGCCTGTTTTTTAACGAGTTTTTTATCGAGTCCGTGCGAGCCAGGCTGGGTCGGACATCCCATTTTGACAATGCTAATATTTGGCATGATTGAAGTTTTAATTGAGTTAATCCAAGTTCTGACAGTGGAATCCAAGGATATTAATACTTTATTATAAATTTGAGTCAATTTTAATTTGGATTGAAGCTACTTTTAAAAAATCGTAATTGGAATTTGCAAAGTTTGAGATGGAATAATAAATTAGCTATAACAAAGGTTCAAGCTTGTTAAGAATCCTGTATCGACTAAATACTAAATCCACAAAAAGCATACAAGAGTGACAAGTTAACTAACTAATGGGTTACTAACATTTTAGTATTTGTTGGCACAAGCCGAAGTAAACTCATATGATACATTTTCATTTTCATTCACCGGCAGCATTTCAATTTGTAATAAAGCTAGCAATGAATAGAAAATCAAATTACCAAGTTGAATCTATCCGATTTGATCTGGCATAATTTTTAATTATCAGTTCAATTTTGATTTTCGGGAGAAAAAATTGAAATATTTTTAATTTGATTCGTTTTCATTATATCCAGACAATAAACCAAAATTGCTTTTCAACTGATTTAGTTTTTGATACACTATTTATTTGAGAGCAAACCATTAAAAATACATTAAACTTTGCATTTTATTATATATGTACTCCAATTTCAATTTAACCCTTGAGACATTCCAATAAATTAGGACTTCTGAAATGAATAAAAGATACTTAATGAGATCCATCAATGCAGGTGAATTAAATTATTAATCAACCTCTAGTTGCACCGCTTCATCTCCCCCTCTTCTCTCTCCCAACTATTGCTAGATTTGTTTGATTCAGATGACGAAAAAGAGAGGGAGTATTTGAAGACAATACTAAATCGCATTTATGGTAAGTTTATAGTAGATGAGCCATTAATTAGAAAAACCATTTACGAGATCTTTTATCATTTCATATTTGAGGCTTTGAGACATAATAGAAAAAGAAAACGTGGACCTGCTTGAGATGTTGGGCAGCATAATTTATGGGTTTGCTTTGCCCAAGTCGTATTGATGTACGATCAATCACTTTTGTATTGTATTACTCAGTTTGCGGAAAAAGATTTCAAGCTTGTTGATACTGTAATTCTAGGTCTTCACTATAATATAAGACATTGATTTCCCATTTTTTCCATATAATAATGATAAATGAAAGGCAAATTCAATAGTTAAAGTTTATATTTTATAATATTAGATAAAATGAAAGAAGAAAAGAAACAAGATATAGGCAGATCCAAAAGAACTCACTTAAAGAAATGGAGAGAAGAGGCTGAAAAGATCAACCGCAAAAACAAGGAGAGTAAGTAAAAGAAGAGCAACTGACAGTGACTAGGCTCCTTAAAATGCATTGAGATGTCAGGAATATACGGTAAACAAAAGACTTTGTTTTGCTTTTTTAATTTTTATTTGCAAATATTTATATTTATTATTATATTACTTTCAATAGTCTACAAACAACACAACTCCTTCAAGTTTTAATTCAATGACAGAAATCACTCTCTCTTTCTTCATTATTTTTTTTGCTCCACTTCAAAAAATGGCTCTCTCTCTCTCTCTCTAACAAATTAAGTCTTTCTCTCTCTTAAAACAGGCCGATTTTTCTGTTAATAGAAAAAAAATAATAATGTAGAATCCACAAAATTTTTCTTTTGTTTTTTTTTTTTTTTTTTGAATAACTAAAAACAATAATTAAGCTTATCTAGAATATTACATTTTCTATTATGAATGGGTTGTTTTTTTTTTTTTTTTTGAATAACTAAAAACATATAATTAAGCTATATCTTATCTAGAATAATTACATTTTCTATTATTGACATGCGGTCAGGGAAACCAAGATACTATACTTTCATAGATCTATATAAAACAGACTACTCCAGGATAACAAATCCGTTGTAGATCTAGAATTGGTTCAGGACTACTTTCGGGCTCTCACAACCGAGAAGACCCGGGGCTTTCAAGTCCGGCAACGGAATAATTTTTTTTTTTTTTTTTTTTTTTAACATTTTATCAAATGAGTAACCGATTAAGTATACAGCCCACGTCATGAACGCCATCTTGCTGGTATACGATGAGGGGAATAACCACATATCCGAGATATCCGTGGCCTTTTGGCACAACTTTATCAAATGGTAACCGTTAGTTACAGCCCACGTCTGAACGCATCTTGCTGGTATACGATGGGGGATAACCAGATACGAGATATCCGTGGCCTTTTGGCCAACGGTCAAATTGATGGAAAATTTGTAAGTTTTAATTATAGCCTAATTGAAATTGCTTAATTGGTACCGTACTCCAAACGAAAGTTAGTTTATATATAGTTTCACTGTCTTTAATATCCTTAGCAATTAGCAAATTTTATTATTATCATTAGCGGTTAAAATGATACATGTAAATTAAGTAAGAGGATTAGAACTCATAAGATGAAAATTTGCTATATGAATTTACTTGAACTTGGATCAATTAATGTTAAACTTAGTATTAACCAATTAACTAGTTGGTTATATCCCCTTTATGGATTTGATATTTAAAGTGGATTTATAATTACTATTATTGAATAAGTAATAAATAATAAATTAATTAAGAAAAATAAAAAATAGAATGGTCATTTTAATTTGGAAAAAGTATACAATTAGACATGCATTGTGAATGATTTGGGTGAAAATTAATGAGAATTTCATTTTGGGTAGTTATGGTCAAATGCATCAATTATGTTCACCCAATAAGACCAAACTAACCAAAAGCACATATCATCCAAAACATTATGCCTCAGCTTCTCAGGCATCTACTGAATTTTATATATACATATTCAGCTTCTTCATTTAAAGATAGAGAAGCAAAACCAAGCTACTAAAATGGAAGATTATCTTAAGCTATTTCCCTCTAATGCCTCTGTTTTAGCTGCATACTCCTCCATTTCAACTTCTTGGGTATTACTTAAAACTGCATATGATCAAATCATACCAAGAAAGCTTCAAGATTTTCTAGTCTCAAAATTTAAGTACTACTTCTCCCGTCAAAAATCATATGCCACCTTTATAATCGATCCTGCAGACTCTTGTGGGATCGGCCGTAACGAGCTTTTTGATGCATCAAGAGCTTATTTATCAACCAAAATCGGACCTAGAAATCGGAAAATCAAGATTGGTAAATCAGAGCAGCAAAAGAATGTGTCCACTGCAATTGCAGAAGGAGGAAATATCAGAGATACATTCCAAGGCATAACTATTACATGGACATATTATCTTCAAGACCAGCAAAGAAATGACAGTAAATCGAAACCTCCAAAATCTTATTACGAAATAACATTTGACAGTAAACATTGGAGTAAAGTTCACAATGAGTATTTAATCCATGTTTTGAACACCCACAAGGCTTTGATGCAAAAGGAAAAGGTTCTGAAGTTATACACAAGACTTGATTTTTACTATGGTAATAAAGGATGGAAGCCTGTCGACTTCCATCATCCAGCGTCGTTTGATACTCTTGCATTGGATCCTGAACTGAAGAAATCGATTATAGATGATCTTGACAGGTTTCTGGAAAGGAAAGAGTTTTATAAAAGAGTTGGTAAGGCTTGGAAAAGAGGATACTTGCTTTATGGTCCTCCTGGAACTGGAAAATCAACCCTAATCGCAGCTATGGCTAATTATTTGAACTTTAATATCTATGATTTGGAGCTTGCTAGTATTAGTTGTGATACTGATCTAAGGAAGTTATTATTAACTATAACTAATCGATCAATACTCATAATCGAAGACATAGATTGCAACTCAGAAGTGCATGATCGATCTAAGACTATTAATGTCAAAGAAGAAAAGCAACATTACCGTAAGGTTAGTAACTAATTAATCCCATTTCAAATTTTAAAATTTGCATGCAGACTTATGATTGTGTTTCTTGTGTCTTCCTAATACTATTTCAGACATTTACACTGTCAACTCTTCTTAATTGTATCGATGGATTGTGGTCAAGTTGCGGAGAAGCAAGAATCATAGTGTTTACTACTAATCACAAAGAAGTTCTGGATCCTGCATTGCTTCGTCCTGGCCGGATGGATATGCACATTCACATGTCTTATTGCACCATTAAAGCCTTCAGAGTCTTGGCTTTTAACTACCTTGGCATCCATGAACATAAACTCTATCAGGAAATTGATGGGTTGATTGAGAATACGAATGTGACTCCTGCTTCTTTGGCTGAGGAACTAACGAAGAGTGATGATGCTGATGTTGCTCTTGGAGAAGTTGTCAATTTCCTTAAGCGAAAGAAGAGAGAGCAAGAACAGCAAATTGAAGAGAAAAATAAGAAGAGCAAATTGAAGAGGAAAATCAAGAACAGAGGACTATTCCTGAATTTTTAGCTTGTCATTTTATAATTACAGCTTTTCTTATCTTTTTATTAAACAGTAATAGAGGATATCATATATTAATTGCAATTAGATTACTTTTTATAAAGAGAAATATTGATATAGAGAATCAATGAATAAAAATAATCTCACATAACTATTAAAGCAAATAGATTGGATCATGATCGTGATAGAATTATTACTTTTAATTCTTTAATATATTTTCTTTTAAAAAATTGTGAATTATAATTTTGTATATTAAACTATTAATTTCAACTTTCACATCAACAAATGAACATTAGCTAATGTTTTCGTTGATGCATGCTATTTGGATGAAATTAATCCAAATGAAATTGGAATAATTGAAAACCCATAATCCCTCAAAAATTTTGGTTCTAAAACTTTTTTAACTCTTTCCTCTCTTTCTCTCACTTTTTTCAATGATTAATAATTTTACAACATGTATCAATCTAAAACTCATTCAAAGTATAGGTAAGATATCCATAAATTTTAAACCACTTGAGATCGATTTTAATTTCAAAATACTCTTTTTACTTATAGTGGGTGGGGCACTTCTAGATACTTGTATCGACTAATAGTGAGCGGGATTTGAATTTAATCTCGAAAATAGTATGTAATGGAAATTTCCATTGATGATAGCCGAAAATTTTATAATGTACTAACCAGTGACAGAACCAGGAATTAAAGTTAGGAGGCTAAAAAATTTCAAGAGTTAAGGGGGCAAAATTGAAAAAAAAGTTACTATTTTAAGGGTAAAATAGAAAATTTTCAATATTTTATGGGTGATTCTTTAAAAAGAATTTTCTAGGTGGGGTCCACCCCTAGCTCCATCAATAGTACGAAAAATCTAAATTAGCAGCTGATTAAGGCTTCTATTTGCTATTCAACTACTGATTAAAAAACTTACCAAACACCTATAGTCTAGATGTTGAATACGAATTAATTATCAATTTTGTGAATTTAGTTGAACTAAATGCCTTCTGAATAATTAATCTAAATTTGTTATAAAACAATAGAAAATTTTATTATTGTATTTGGCTCGGTCCAAATCGTGTTTTTGTGTGGTTTTGTTCTCCAGTGGTTTAATTGACTCTTTAGGTTTGATTTAACAAATAAAGTATTTATTACTAGATTTTTTGTTTAAATATTTCACAAAGCATAATTTATAAATTTTTTACATCCTATAATATCCTAAAATGTGATTGGTTAAAATTAATATTTAGATTTTTAAATGAAAAGCTTTTGAAAATAATTTTTCAGGTTATATATATATATATATAACTACCCAAATCATAAAAATGAAAAGCTTTTGAAAATAATTTTAAGGATGCATTTGACCATAACTACCGAAAATGAAATTCTCATTAATTTTCGCCCAAATCATTCACAATGCATGTCTAATTGTATACTCTTGCCAAATTAAAATGACCATTCTATTTTTTATTTTCTTAATTAATTTATTATTTATTACTTATTGAATAATAGTAATTATAAATCCACTTTAAATAACAAATCCACAAAGGAAATATAAAACTAAGCGTGACCAACCAATTAGTTAATTGGTTAATACTAAATTTAACATTGATTGACCCAAGTTCAAATAAATCCATATAGCAAATTTTCGATCTTATGAGTTCTAATCCTCTTACTTAATTTACATATAACATTTTAACTGCTAATAATAATAATAATAATAATAATAATAATAATAATAATTGCTAAGGATATTAAAGACGGTGAAACTATAAACTGACTTTCGTTTGGAGTACTTTACCAATTAAGCAATTTCAATGAGGCTATAATTAAAACTTACTAATTTTCCATCAATTTGACCGTTGGCCAAAAGGCCATGGATATCTCGTATCTGGTTATCTCCCATCGTATACCAGCAAGATGCGTTCAGATGTGAGCTGTAACTAACGGTTACCATTTGATAAAATTAAAAAAAAAAAAATCGAATTATTCCGTTGCCGGGACTTGAACCCGGGTCTTTCGGGTGAGTTCAGATGTGAGCTGTAACTAACGTTACCATTTGATAAAAAATTAAAAAAAGTAACTAACGGTTACCATTTGATAAAATTAAAAAAAAAAAAATCGAATTATTCCGTTGCCGGGACTTGAACCCGGGTCTTTCGGGTGAGAGCCGAATATCCTGACCAACTAGACTACAACGGATTTGTTATCCTGAAGTTGTCTATTTGATATAAATCAAATCAAAGTATATAAGTATCTTGTTACCCATTCATAATAGAAAATGTAATATTCTAGATAAGCTTAATTATTGTTTTTAGTTATTCAAAAAAAAAAAAAAAAGAAAAATTTTGTGGATTCCACGGTATTATTTTTTTTTGTTTTTTTCATGTAAAATTAACGGAAAAAATTGGCCTGTTTTGAGAGAGAGAAAGACTTAATTTGTTAGCAAGAGAGAGAGAGCCCCATTTTTTGAAGTGGAGGGGCAAAAAAAATAATGAAAAAAGAGAGTGATCTCTTGCATTGAATTGAAACTTGAAGGAGTTGTGTTGTTTGTAGACTACTGAAAGTAATATAATAATAAATATAAATATTTGCAAATAAAAATTAAAAAAGAAAAACAAATTCTTTTGTTTACGGTGTATTCTTGACATCTCAATGCATTTTAAGGAAGGCCTAGTCACGTCAGTCACTCTTCTTTTACTTACTCTCCTTGTTTTTGTTTTTTTTTTTGAAGTTAAAATGGGAAATATTTTATTATGAAATCAAGAAATCAAGTAGAACAGGAGGTGGTATAGAATCCCAAACTCCCAAGCCAGCTTTCCCAAGCCATCTTCGGAATGATGTTCCAACTGCTAACCTATGGTTGCAGCCACATATGTGTTCCAACTGCTAACCTATGTGCAGCCACATTCACAGACCTATAAATAAAATTACATTTAGCGACTGGTATCTCAGACAAAAGAGATCTGCAGTCTTGAATTATCAAACCAAAAGCAGACGAATCATTTGTAGAAACATTGTTGATGGCATTGGCAACTGACTGAGAGTCAGTTTCCAACAAAATATAATTCCATCTGTGATCCTTGATCCAGCTCAAAGCTTCTCGCACGGCGATGGCCTCCGCCACCGTATCACTGAAAAATCCCGGAAATCTCCACGCTCTGCTAGCAATAAACTCAGAGGCTGAATTTCGAACTATTGTGCCAATACCCACATAACCAGTAGCCACTCCAGTTGAGGCATCTATGTTCACTTTTAACCAATTAAACGGAGGTGGAGTCCAAGTACGAGCAAAGGTGACTGGAGAAGGAACTACCAAACGATGAACCTGAGCATCCTTCCATGCTCGCCAAACTCCCGTAGCTAGTAGAATTACCGCCCCTGGATTCCTGTTTCGTTGGCGCCATACCATATCATTCCTAGTGACCCATAATGCCCAACACACCATAGAAATATAATTCAAGTTCTCCAAAGTGGATGACGATGAGGCTTGCTGAAACCACTCCCCACCCCAAAAGACGTAGCCGAAGACCACCGATACCCCAAGATGCGGAAGAGTTTCCAAGCCTGTCTGAAAAAGGCAGTTTGACAAGATATGAAGGCAGTTGACAAGAATATGAAGAGTTGTTTCAGAGTGTCCAAGACATAGAGGGCAAATATCTTGAATGTCCATCCTTCGAGAGCGTAAATTTCTCCTACAAGGAAGAACATCACATACGGCATGCCAAATGAAATTAAGTGCTTTGGGAGGAATCTTCATCTTCCACAGTCGAGTCCAACATATAGAAGACAGAAAATGTGATGCAAGAGGATTATGCAGAAGTAGCCTGTAACCACTCTTGACTGTGTAAGTACCTTTTGCATCAAATTTCCAACAAACGCGGTCATCTCCCATCTGATTGCTTAAAGGAATAGAGAGGATACAAGCAATATCTCTTTCATTAAATAAGCGTCTAATTCGCTCAACATCCCATCTTCTGTGCGTAATAAGATCCGAAACCAAGAAAGCAGTATTATTTAGTGGTCTAGGAGAGGAGATAAAAGAACATTCTTCGTCAGGCAGCCAAGGAGAATCCCAAATAAATGTGTTGGAACCACTACCAACCCGCATATATAGTCCTTTTTGGATCAAACTCTTTGACCCCCAAATGCTTCGCCAAACATAGCTTGGTTGGATCAAACTCTTTGACCCCCAAATGCTTCGCCAAACATAGCTTGGGTTTGAGCCGAGATCAGCTTCCAGATAGCTACAATTCGGAAAATACTTTGCTTTCAAAACGCGTGCAGCCAATGAATCCGGGCTTGCCATAAGTTTCCAGCCTTGTTTACCCAGAAGAGCTATATTAAATTCATGAATTTTTCGAAATCCAAGCCCTCCGAACAACTTTGGGATGGCCATTTTGTCCCAAGCAAGCCAATGAATGCCTTGAGAATAATTTCGCCCACTACCCCACCAGAATCGATTCATGATACGTTCTAATTCTGTACACAAAGTCTTGGGTAACAAGAAAAGACTCATAAGATAATTAGGTAAAGCCTGAAGAACCGTTTTTAACAGGACTTCTCTTCCCGCACGGGAAAGAGACTTAAGTTCCCATGAGTTTAAACGTTTCCACATTCGATCCTTTATATAATTAAAGACCTCTCTTCTGTTTCGCCCCATATGTGATGGTAGACCCAAGTAAGAACCTAAAGTATCCTTCTCTGGAACCTGAAGTAAGGAACATATTTGATGTCGGGAGTGCCGAGGGGTATTAGTGCTAAAAGTAATTGAAGACTTGTTGAAATTTATCTGCTGACCTGATTCTGCCTCATACATAGCCAGAATATGTTTGAGAGATTGTGATTCCTGAACTGAAGCCTTCAAAAACACCAAACTGTCATCGGCGAAAAAGAGATGAGAAATTAATGGGCCACCCCGACAAACTCGAAAACCACTCAGAGTCCCATGCTGAGTAGATATCCGAATCATGTTTGATAAGCCTTCAGCACAGATGATCACAGATGATGAACAAAGTACGGGATAAACAGATGATGAACAAGTACGGGGATAAAGGGTCTCCCTGTCGCAAACCCCTAGTGGGAAGAATGGGCCCAAGCTCTCTATTATTCTGCAAAATCCAGTACTTCACCGAAGTTAGACTAGACATGATAAGATTAATCCATAGAGCATTAAAACCCAAATTAGCTAGCATCTGCCGTAGAAAGGACCACTCCATTTTGTCGTATGCTTTGCTGATATCCATTTTGACCGCTGCAGAAAAATCAGAACCCCTAGTCTTCCTGTGAAATGCATGCAAAGCTTCAAAAGCAACAATACAATTATCCTGAATATTTCTGCCCGCAACAAAGGCACACTGGCTTTCGGAAATCAGGAGCGGAAGGATAGTGCGAAGACGATTTGCAAGCATCTTGGTAATGATTTTTAACAGAACATTGCAAAGGGCAATCGGTCTCAAATCGGACATAGACTCGGGGGATGATGTCTTAGGAATCAAAACCAAACCAGTCTCATTCAGATGAGCAGGGATAGACCCACTGTGGATTATCTCGATACAATTCTGAGCTATATCATTACCGATAACATCCCAGTAGCCTTGGTAGAAGCCGGGATTGAAACCGTCAAGACCCGGGGCTTTGTCGGCCTTCATGTCAAAAACAGCTACCCGAACATCCTCAATTGAGTAAGGAGCTAACAAGAACTCATTTTGTGCTTCAGTGAGAACAGGCTGAATAAGATCGGAAACCAATGTAGAGGTGCAATTCTGGGAAGGAAACCAATGTAGAGGTGCAATTCTGGGAAGCAAACACATTAGTAAAGTAACGTACCATAAGGTCTTCTAACCCGGAATTCAAGTGACACCAGTTTCCAGATTCATCCCTCAGAGCAGAAATTCGGTTTCGTTGTTGTCGGGTTGTAGCACTTCGATGGAAGAAACGGGTATTAGCATCACCTTCCCGTAACCAGAACTCTTTGGCACGCTGTTTCCAAAAAATTTCCCGTTGTAACAATAATTCCTGATACCTGTTCATACCTGTTCTTTGCCTCCAAAAACCGAACATTATCTCCTGCGGTACGAGAACCTCTTGTAGCAACCATGATAGCCATGCAAGTCACAAATTCACCTTTCTGATAATGGCGAAGTTCTTCCCCCCAAATCTCAAGGAGTGCTCTGCACCGAGAAAGCCTATCACCCAAAGCCAAATTCACCGTCTTAAACCAACAACCCATAATCAGAGTCTTACAAGCAGCCTCCCTCCTCCAGCTGTTCTCAAAACGAAATCGTCTAGCCTGAGCCCGAGGCACAAAGTGACGTAGTTCAAGGTAGATCGGGAGATGGTCGGATGAAGATTTATCAAGAACCATAGCTCGGGCTTGAGAGAATTTTCGGCGCCAAGAGTCAGTAGCCAAAATACGATCAAGTTTTTCCTCAATTAAATTGCCACTAGTGCGACCATGTTCCCAAATGAAGGCATAACCAGACATAGGAAAATCATGCAGATGTGCATCTGAGATAGCAGCTTGAAATCCCCGAATAAGATGAGCAGGATGAGGTCTTCCCCCTCTCTTTTCAGACGAAGCAAGGATATCATTGAAGTCGCCTTGAGGTCTTCCCCCTCTCTTTTCAGACGAAGCAAGGATATCATTGAAGTCGCCTAAACACAGCCAAGGCAAATCACTATGAGAAGCTAAAACACGAAGTAGCTGCCAAGAATTGTTTCTTCTGTTTCTATTTGGTTCACCATAAAAGCCTGTAAGCCTCGAAACACCAAAATGGGGTAAATCCACTTCAACATCTATATATCGAGAACAGGAACCAATAATATTAACTGACGAAACACCTTTCCATAATAATGCCAAACCGCCGCTATGGCCAACACAGTCAACATTAACAAAACCATCATAATTTAATAAAGTCTTTATTTCTGCAACTTTATCTGAATGACAAAGAGTCTCACATAATTTAATAAAGTCTTTATTTCTGCAACTTTATCTGAATGACAAAGAGTCTCAATAAGAAAAATAAAAGTCGGCTTCTTATCATTTATAATGTCCCGTAAAGTACGTACTGCTCGTGGGTTGCCAAGCCCACGACAGTTCCAACTGATAGTACTCATGTCTGGCGGCGGGTCTGACTCGCAGAACCCGCCAATGGCCCATTTTTTGAAACTGAAGTACTGCCCAAAACAGCTGGAGTATTATCATGCAACATGGTGGGCGCAAGCGCCATTCGTTTCCTTTTTGGATCTACCATGATAATGTCAAAACTATCACCTAATGCTGGGTCCACATTTGAGGTGTTAGCTGCTGACTCATCCACCATAGGAGCATAATCATCTCCGCAGATCATGCCCTCTAAAACAGCCATATCTCCTTTCTTATTCAAATTTTGAAAGCTTCCATCATTAGTGGCTTTTTCAACACCATCATCATGAGTAGCCGTATCCCAGGACCCACCTGTCTCCTCCCTCAACCACCGTTCACCAATTCGCAGGCTTGGCCGGTTAGAAACTCGAATTTCCGGACCAAACTTTCTGACCAACGAAACACGGCCTTCGTTCAAAAGCTTACGACAGAATCGTTCAGTGTGCCCAAGGAAACCACAAAGAAAACATATACTGGGTAATCTTTCATATGCCAGTGTGGGATAGAACCAATTTCCAGACTTTGCACGGAGCTTCAGTGTTTGTCGAATAGGAGTACGGATATCATGTAAATATTTCAGTCTCATATAGGATCGTCGTGGCCCTGTAAAATTATTGGGATCGGACTCTAGAAAAGAACCAAGTTCATTGCCCAAACGGACTGCCACTCGTTCAGTCATAAACCCATTATCAAGTTTGTGAATCTGGACCGAACCAAGTTCATTGCCCAAACGGACTGCCACTCGTTCAGTCATAAACCCATTATCAAGTTTGTGAATCTGGACCTATAAAGGAGTTTCAAAGAGAGGGATATTAGACAAAGTGATATTACCTTCAACTCTACCGAGAATCAAAAGTTGATTGTTAAAAGTCCATGGTGCCATATCAAGGACTCTATCCACGTCCACCTTGTGGTAAAATTGAAAATGGTAAAAACCATTCCCCTCCTCATTGACTGACATTCCCATGAAAGGCCTCCATAGAGAAGCAAGGGTTTGTTTCATAGCCTGGAAGTTGATAGTTTTATCGGTAAGAAAACGTCCTACCAGACAGAGAGAGTTGTCAGAACCTGTGGAAAGCTCTTCGTCCTCTTCAAAAACTAGTCCATCATCTTCCTCACCGTTGACTGATAAGTTAGCCATCTCCACAGAAATATGTTGATCATCTGCCATGAGAAAAACTTGTCAATGACAAGACCAAAACCAGAAGAACTCTCTAGGAAGAGAGACGAAACAATTTTATAACTGTTAAAATTAAATCAATCGTTCGGCATGAAAGACTGATAATCACACCAACACTGTTAAGTAGCCACAAAAGTTTAGAAAGTTTATAATTTTCTGGAAAGGAACTAGAAGTAGTGGACGCAAGAGAACACACAGAAAGATGAAGTGGACGCCAAGATCGGTGGTGCAGCAGCTTTCAGTGGCTATGTTAACCGAAAAAATCATCAAAATGACAACGCAGGGAGAAGAAGATGTAGAGGAGAAGGTAGCACTATTGAAGCTTGATGAGGAACAAACAAATAGAGCTAAGAACGAGCATGCCAAATGAAGCCCAGTTCCTGGAGTTCAAATAGAAGCTGCAGGCGTGAGGTCAAAGGCTGGCAAAGACTCCCACCCACCATTTCCCAAGATGCCAGAGAGATCACATGGCTATAGTGTACTGTAGCTCTTGGGAGAGACGAAGCACAAAAAGATCCTTTTTCTTTGGTTAATTAAGCAATGGTTACTCTCCTTGTTTTTGTGGTTGGTCTTTTCAGCCTCTTCTCTCCATTTCTTTAAGTGAGTTCTTTTGGATCTGCCTATATCTTGTTTCTTTTCTTCTTTCATTTTATCTAATATTATAAAATTTAAACTTTAACTATTGAATTTGCCTTTTATTTATCATTATTATATGGAAAAAATGGGAAATCAATATCTTATATTATAGTGAAGACCTCGAATTACAGTATCATTATTATATGGGGACATGTCCGTTTTGAGAGTCTATCTTTTTCCTCCTCTTTTTTTTTTTTTTTAACTTGATTACTTTATTGAATTTCTATTGGCTTTATATGTCTATTGGAAAAAAGAGGGAAGCAAGCTTTCTCAGTCGGTCTATATAAACTTTAAATTGTTATTCTCTTTTTATTTCAAATTTTATGATATATACATATATATTGTTCTAAATCGGGTCCCATAGGCCTGGCCAACCCTGGCTTTGATAAAAAACGGTCTCAATTATTTTACCTAGATTCGAACAAATTACAGGCGTCACAAGATGTCCGTGGGCTTAGGCCCCTTTTGACAGTACTACCAAATATGCACCATTAATCTATTAAAAAAATTGAATTCTTGTAAATGATTCATTTTCTAAATTTCTGAGAATTACATTTTAGTAATTTTTATTTTTCTCAAATATGAGATTAAATCCATCTATTTTGTTTATTTTTCTTCCTAATAATTTTCCAAACCTATAAACACTTTTGAAATAAAATTTGGATTTAGGCTCTTAGATCTGTAGATCTTGAGTGTTTTTGCTACCCTCTTAGTGAGATTATTAATTTCTTTTCTTTCGTGGGGTTATTCCTCATTATTGAGGAGTTTTTATGTGGATCTTTTATTTCTAACGTAGTTCGAGAGACAAGATCGATTGTTGGTTGCTTGCAGTTGGAGACTTCAGATCGTCAAGTTCGAGTAAGTTTCTTTTATCAATGGAGCCTGGTAGTACAGTCTGTTCTTCCATTAAAGTTTGGTATATTAAACTCTTCTACGAGTATCAGTTGTAACAAGTTTTCGACAAAATAATATTCAAAATAATATTGTGGAAAGTTTCTTTGGTTGTCCTTTTTGAAAATGGACCAGTTTTCATCTGGAGATTAACCTCTTCTGCCAAGATTAAGAACATCTCCAAATAGAAGATTTTAATTTTCTATATTTATATTTCTTATTTCTATCGGAATATTATGATGTACTCAATTTATATTCATAATTAATGAATTATTAAGTTTTCAAAAAAAAAAAAAAAAGGATATGAACTCTATTCAAAAAAAAAAAAAAAAGAAAAAAAAAAAAAAAAAGGATATGAACTCTATTAGTTAATAAAGTTGTGTGTCTGGTCTATATGCTTATTGGTAATTCTTAATATTATTTATCAATGAATTAAATTTTCAAAAAAAAAAAAAATTTATATTTGTAAGAGAAAATAAAGGTGAGATAAGTCTAACAATTTATACTTGATACATAATCGTAATTTGTTAATTTTAGATTTATTTACAAATGCTATTAAGTTTTGTACGATTTGATTCATTTTAAAATTATAAACGAAATATTATAGATATGTAAATGAATTTCATAAAATTTTATATGAATTTATTTACACTAAATTAATTCTAGGTTTATAAATAATTGCATAAAAGAAATAAATTTAGAAAGGTGAAAAATTAATCAACAATGAGGCAGCATATAATCCATAAGAAGTTGCAATTGAAAAAAAGTTAATGTTGTGATTGTAATTAAAAATGAGGCAACATATAGTACAGTACGAAGCATCATAAGCAAAGAACCTAAAACATATGTTCAACAATAACCTTAAAACATTAGTAACTTAGTAATTTAATTTTCCTCTCCAATTTGCTTTTCTTATTCTTTCTTCTTCTGCTTCAAGAAATTGAGCACTTCTCCAAGAGCAACATCAGGATCATCACTCTTCATTAGTTCCTCAGCCAAAGAAGCAGGAGTGACATTAGTCCTCTCCATCAACGCATCAATTTCCTGATAGAGTTTGTGTTCATGAATGCCAAGATAGTTAAAAGCCAAGACTCTGAAGCCTTTACTGGTGCAATAAGACATGTGAATGTGCATATTGAATGTGCATATCCATCCGCCCCGGACGAAGCAATGCAGGGTCTAATACTTCTTTGTGATTAGTAGTAAACACTATAATTCTTGCCTCTCCGCAGCTCGACCACAACCCATCAACGCAATTTAGCAGAGTTGACAGGCTGAATTCCTGAAATTAATTACCCCATCATTGTTTTATTAATTAAGTTTGAAAATTACTAAAGATTGTAGATAAAAAAAAACTATGAGTTAAAAGGAAAGAAACTAGGTACACACCTTAGTGTGCTTCTTCGGATTCATTAATTGTTCTTGATGATTAGCTATTTTTTGTCTATCATACACTTGTGAATTGCAATCAATGTCTTCAACTACAAGTATAGATCGATTAGTTGTCTTTAACAACACATTTCTCAACTCAGCATCAGAAGGAATACTAGGAAGCTCCAGATCATAAATGTCAAATTTCAAATAATTAGCCATAGCTGCAATTAGTGTTGATTTTCCAGTTCCGGGAGGACCATAAAGTAAATATCCTCTTTTCCAAGCCTTACCAACCCTCTGATAGAACTCCTTTCTTTCTAAAAACCTATCAAGATCATCCATAATTGATTTCTTCAGATCATCCATAATTGATTTCTTCAATTCAGGATCCATAGCAAGAGTATCAAATGAGGCAGGGTGACGAAAATTCATGGCTCTCCATTCTTTTCCAGCATAATTTTTAATTCCAATGTAAAGCTTCAAAACCTTTTCACCTTTCATTAATTTCTTGTATGTATCCAGAACATGAACTAAATATTCATTTCTTATCTTGTCTTTGTATTTTTTATCAAAAGTAATTTGATAAGAATTTCCGCCAGGAATAATTATATCTTTAGATTTATTTTCTCCATTTTTGTATTTCTTATCTTGTCTTTCATTAACTGGTTTTTTTGGACTGTGACACGTCCAAGTAACAGTTATGTCTTGAAATGTATCAACAATTATTTCTCCTTCAGGAATAGCAGCAGAGATATTCTTTTGCTGTTCTAATTTACCCACTTTCATTACATGATTTTCCGGTCCCATTTTTGTAGATAAATAGGTTCTCGCTGCATCGTAAAGCTCATTCCGGCCAAATGAAGACCATAACTGTTCGATTATAAAAGTTGCAGTAGATGATGGGTTTCGAAGAAAATAGTACCTGAATTTTGAGAGTACAAAATCTTGAAGCTGCCTTGGTATGACCTGATCATATGCAGTTTTGAACAGTACCCATGAAGTTGAGATGGAGGAATATGCTGCTACCAGAGAAGCATTTGAAGGTATGCGCTTAAAGTATTCTTCCATTGGAGTATTTTTGACTATCCTCTGTCCTCTGTTTCATCTAAGAGATTTTAGGAAAGGAAATTTGGGTTTTGCTCTTTTATCTGTCAAAATGGCAGAAACAAGAAATTTCTGCGTTTTGCTCTTTTTATCTGCCAAAATAGCAGAAACAAGAAAGGTGTGTTCTGATCTAAAAACCAGAAATAAGAAAGGTGTGTTCTGATCTAAAAACCAGAAATAAGAAAGGTGTGTTCTGATCTAAAAACCAGAAATAAGAAAGGTGTGTTCTGATCTAAAAACCAGAAATAAGAAAGGTTTTGATTGGTTAAGATTGGGAAATTGGCTCCCTATGTTGGTGATTGGTTCGGTTTAATTAACGCACAGTATGGCAAACATAATTAAAATCAAAATGCCAAGCACAGTGGCAAACATAATTAAAATCAAAATGCAGCATTTTCTAATCAACAAGCTAAATTGATTTCAAAGCATGAAATTCAAGTCTAGCTACACCATCCAGACCCATAATTATACTAATTAGGACTTGTTCAGCAATATGAGATATTTTTGTTAGGGGTGAGCATACTTTGGAAAAAATTGAAAGCAAACCAAACCGAATTTATTTCGGTTTTTGGTTCAGTTATTCGTTTCACCTTCAGTTTTCAATATTGTACAACTTCAATTTTCAATCTTTAAATTGGTTATTGCAAAATATTTATTTTCTGATTAAAACCGAACTATTTAATCGAACCAACCAAACTTTCTTCAATACGGTTCTTTTTCAGTGAAAAGCAAACCAAATTGCCCATTTGCAGACCCTAGTTTTAGTAGTTGTTAGCTGGAATTATAGACTAATCAACTACATTCTTGCCAAGTAATTCCCTGAATAAAACAAGTTATCTTCTTACTATTTAGCTTAATTAGTTAATCTATAATTCCATGTCAAAACATATTGAAACTCTTGAAATTTCAGTCAAAAGTCAACAATCCCAGCAAGCTAATCATTACAGAGAGCAAAATATATTCGCAGCAAAAAGACATTTTTCAAACAGAGTCAAGAAGTAATTCCCTAACTCAAAAAATTATCTCCATGACTCCATGCTATTTAGCTTAAGTTAAGCTACAAGACGTATTCAAATAGAATGGAGCAAATAATCTGATTCAAAGAAGTGTTAGAGAAGAAGAGCAAAATGTATTTGCAGCTCAAACACATTCATCAAGTAATTGCCTAAATCAAAAGCTTAACTTCAGCTATGTCACAAATATAATTAAATTCCTGAAATTTCAGTCAAAAGGTTCTGAGATGTTAACACTAATCCAAGACCAAAACACGGAAATCCTAGTCTCAAATACTCCCATTCCGAAATATATATGACAAATACATAACAATAATGTATGACGGAAATCCTAGTCTCAAATACTCCCATTCCGAAATATATATGACAAATACATAACAATAATGTATGAAAAACTCCTATTCGTTGCTATTTTCATATGCATAATAATTGATTTCGCAAACTACTAATTACTAACTGAAAAATACTGGAAATGCAGCTTGTTACATAAAAGGCTAAAAGCAATGCCACACACATGCTAAAAGAATATTCCTAAAACCAATTCATCTCCTCCCCATTGGAACTTCGATGGATAATGGCAATTTCTCCCATCAAGATATTCAAACTGGAACTAAGCTCTCTACATAAACATGAGTTGTCCCAATCCAATTGGAACTCGCAACAGTACTGGAAGTTCTGATTTCTTGATTCCTGGGGTTATACTTGATAAGCTCTGGTGGATTATTGTTGCTTTGAGTTAGGAGAATAAACTCTCCTTCAACATTCTCCTGATATCCGAACACCCTCTTAAATCCAAAAATCCCTACAATAATAAATTTTTTAGTCCATGACTCTTTTACACCGTATTCATTCATAACCCAAATCGCATAGTCATAGTGCAAATGCAAATCATTCCAACGATAAGCAATTACAGCAAGTGAATCATTCAACTTTGTAATATGCTTTATTCGCCAAAGAGAATCAGGAAATTCTATCTCCTCTAAGTCCTCATTTCGAGCATTATAAGACAATATCAGTTGCCCAATTCTTTTTTTACATGCTATCCAATTGAAGGATCCCTTAACCATAGTATTAGACGTCATGTCTATGCTATCATATTGCAACTTAGAGGTTGTTTTTGTTACCCAAGAATTACTACTTCTTTTATACACAATAACTTTGTCATAGCTCCTACAAATAATTCCTACAATCACATAATCATTAAGCTCTGCAACAAAACTAAATCCAAAATAATAGAATCTGGTTGATAGATGATCTTTAATCGGAAGAGCAATATACATATATTCCTTAGTAGCTGGGTTCCATAAATAACAGGAAGGAGAAGAACCGACGCAGACAAGACCATGACATGAACCCACAATATAGGTATAAAAGGTATTAGATAAAAAAGGCTTGTGAAGAATAACAGGAGGTAGAATAACATCAGAGTCAGAAATAGATGAAGAGAAGAATTCATTAGTGTCGCGGCTGCATATGAAAGTGGAATTGTTAGAGGAAGTAGAGCGATTGAGGTGTTGGGCTCAGAAATTAGGGTTTTTGAAGAGGGAGAGCATGATCTTTGTACGCACTTGAACCTCATCAAAGATTTAACTGGTAATCTTGAAAGAATGTCTCCTTCAATATCCGCCATTAAATTAGTAGCTGCGTACAACTTTTTTTTCTTTTCCTGCTTTCCAGGTATTTCCCCAGGTTAATTGGGCTTCCACATATATCTATATATACATACATACACGTTTTTACTCATAATTATTTTTTCACTTTTATATTATATAATATTATTATTTTTAAAATCTAATTTTAATTTTCATAATTCACTATTACTTTTGTCTTGATAATTTGTACGTTTGAATGTACATATTTTTCGTTATACTAGTTTTTTTTATAACTATACTCCTTATTCGTACTCATTCAATTTTTTATATCATTTTTTACTTATCATTTATACTCATTTTTATTTTTTAATATTAAATATTGAAAAATAATTTTTTTCTTTATATTATTTAGATTTTTATAATGTTAAAATAAAATTTTATATAAAATTTATGTCAATATAACAATTAATTAATAAAACAGCAATGTGTATATACACATACATTTCAGTTTAATTTATATTGTCATTTATCTAAAATTCATTATAACTACAACGTGACCTAATAAGTATGTTTCATATATATAGATACATAGGTATAACGATAAATTATTATATATTTTTTTAAAATTAAAATTTTCAATTGTTCGTTATCCTACATATATATACATATATTCATTTTATTTAAAAATAAATCATTTTATTTAAAATAAATTTTTATAAGTAAAAATTTAAAAAACTTTTGAAAAGCCTTAAAATATAGTCTTTCTATTAAAAAAATTTGTTATAAAAAATAAATACTTTTTTTTTCTTTTTTATCTCTCCTGCATAAATTTTATTAAATTATAATAAAAATAGAATCAAATATCTAAAAAATAAATTTATAAAATAAAATATAAAAATTTTCAAATGTCTCATTATCACATACTCCCTCCGTCCCATTTTGTTTGATTGTTATTTCTTTTCTGGATGTCCAAAATATTTGCAAAATTTCTAAATTTAGATGTGTAAATAATTATTTTTTCCATAATAACTTTTATGATTATTCATTAAACGAAAGACTTTTATTAATATCTTAATGAGTTAAGGGCAAAATGGGAAAGATAGCTTTTTTTGACTAAATTATTAATATGCTTATTTTGTCAAATCATGCAAATAAAATGGATCGTAGGGATTATATTTATTAAAAAATAATATGTTCATACTTCTTTTCTTTTAAAAGAAAATATCACATGTTATATTAAATATCCAACCACATTATATTACCACATTATATATTTGAGAAATAAATTTAATTTTGTATTGGAAAAGATTCCTTAACTTAGTTTTTTCATGTTCTCCTTAACTATGACTTTGAAATATTTTAACATTTGTCTTTTATATAATAAATTTAGTTTAACAAATATTAAAAGGAAAAATATCATGAACATACTCGGGTATGAGGCAATAAAGATAAAATAATCATGTATGACCATAAATCAAAGTTTAAAACAAATAACTCATGGTGATACCATTAAAGATAAATATGAGTGATCTTTATTGATTTTAGCTAATTAATTAATTGTGATTATTGAGAAATAATCAAATGTAACAGAGATTTATATTGAATGTAAACATCTTTTTTAAATAACTAGTATGTTGAGAATCAAAGAACCGTGAAGCAGATATTAAAGGATGAAATAAAAATTTCCTTCATAACAGTCATTCAAGTAAATACATAAAATTATATGAATACATGACAAATTGTAATCTCATTAAGATATGTTGAAAATTTGCAATGTTGTAACAATATACTTCTTAAATATCTTGCGAAGCCTTTTCTAAAGTGTATTGCCATAGCAAAAAATCATACAATTCAAAAAATCGCAGACATTTTAATTGATGTATCTTGTTTTCAATCAGTGATAATATATTTTGAGTGAATTTCTACCAATTATATTTGAAAAGTGATAATAATTTTGAGAATTTAACCAATTATATTGAAATAACAAATTAAGTATTTTTTTTATTTTATGTTTATGATTTATTATAAATGATTGTTTATTTACTTCAATTATTAATGTATTATTTATTTAGTATAGTGTGTTGTACGCGTGTGGGTGTCCTACTTTTTTTAAAATTATCATATCTTGCCCGTTTCCTTATCTCGTGTACCGTGTCCATGCAAGCTAACTCTTGGTATATGAGACTATTTCATACGCTAAGCTAATCAATCAAGGTTTCTTTTTATTAACAATAAAAAATGAAGTATTTTTTTTAATTTATTTTTGTGCTGTTGAATTAAGAAATTAAGAAATTCTTTGTTTTAAGTTTATAATTTATTATAAATGATTGTTTATTTATTTGAAATATTAATGTATTACTTATTTAGTGTAGTGTATTCTAAGCATGTAGATGTCCTACTTTTTAAAATTGTCGTATCAGTATGTTATCATGTCTCGTCACCTGTATTGGTGCAACCTAGCTCATGGTATATGAGACTACGCCATACACAAAGCTAAGCAATCAAGATTTTTTTTATTACCAATAAAATGAAGCATTTTTTAAAAAAAAAAAAATTTATTTTTGTGCAATTGAAATAAGAAATTTAGTTTTTTTTTTATTTTATGTTTATGATTTATTCTAAATGATTGTTTATTTATTTGAATGTTAATGTATTACTTATTTAATGTAGTGTATCCTAAGTTACTTATTTAATGTAGTGTATCCTAAGAGTGTAGATGTCCTTCTTTTTAAAAATTATTGTATCCGTATGTTTCCGTATTTCGTATCCTGTGTGTTGGTGCAACCTAGGGTACATGAGGCTACTCTATATACTAAGCTAATCAACCAAGGTTTCTTTTTTTTACCAATAAAAAATGGAGTGTTTTTTTTTAATTTGTTTTTTTTTTGTCGTTAAATTAAGAAATGAAATATTTTTATTTTAGGCTTATGATTTATTATAAATGATTATTTATTTATTTGAAATATTAATGTATTACTTATTTAGTGTAGTGTATCCTAAGCGTATGAATGTCCTGCTTTTTAAAAATTATCGTATCCATATATTCTCGTATCTCGTGTCCTGTGATGGTGCAACCTAGCTCCTGGTATATGAGACTACTCCATACACAAACTAAACAATCGGATTTTTTTTATTATCAATAAAAAATAAGTTTTCTTTTTTTTAAAAAATTATTTTTTTGTCATTGAAATAAGAAATTTAGTTTTTTTTTATGTTTATGATTTATTCTAAATAATTATTTATTTTTTTGAAATATTAATATATTACTTATTTAGTATATTGTATATAAGCGTGTGTATGTCCTATTTTTTTAATTTAAAAATTATTGTATCTCGTATGTTCTTGTATCTCATGTCCCGTGTCTATATAACCTAGCTTTTGTATATGAGACTATTCAATGCACTAGGCTAATAACCAAGATTTTTTTTTATTACCAATAAAAATGAAAAGTTTTTTTTTTAAATTTATTTTTGTGTCGTTGAAATAAGAAATTAATTTTTTTATTTTTTATTTATAATTTATTATAATGATTGTTTATTTATTTAAAACATTAATCTATTACTTATTTATTGTAGTGTATCCTACGCGTGTGGATATCCTGCTTTTTAAAAATTGTTGTATCCATATATTTCGATATAAAAAGAGAGTTGGGGAAATGTTAGAATATAACAAATGGAAAATAAAAAAAAAATAAAAAGTTGTAAGTATATATTACTGTGGGTTCATACTGTTCCTATTTTTTTTTATTTTTAATAATTAATCAAACTTGTTGGTCCATAATGTTCCTATTTTTGGTTTTTTTTTTTTTAATTTTTAATAATTAATCAAACTAAAAGAGAGTTGGGGAAATGGTTAGACATAGTAAATGTGAAAATAAAAAAAAAATAAAAAGGTTGTAAGTATAGTATTACTGTGGGTTTCATACGGACTGTTCCTATTTTCTTTTTATTTTTAATAATTATTAAATCGCATAACCTTGTTGGTCATAATGTTTTCCTATTTTTGGTTTTTTTTGTTTTTAATTTTTTAATAATTAATGAAAACTTTGTTTTGTCCCGTACGTATTATCCTCCGCACACTTGGCAATTTTCAGAGGTTTACATTTGATTTCCATAATAGATGCAAATTGCTCTCTTTCTTATATTATACAAATATGATATAGTAATATATTATAGGATGAGAGAGAGAGAGAGAGAGAGAGGATGAGAGAGAGAGAGAGAGAGAGAAGATTAATAAAAAATTGCCGTTAAAGGAAACTCAATTTGATTAATAATTTAATACCATAATTTATCAATATTGAAAAAGTTTTCTCAAGGTATTTAATAAGACTCAAATTATTATCAATTATCCAATAAGAATATTTTAAGGATTTCTAAAGTTTCACCTAAAAATGTGGTAATCCTTATTTTTGACTAATCACCCCGACTGGATAGACGGTCTCTCAGTAATGAGGTCCGGCATACCGGTGATGTTAATACAAAAAAAGAATATTTTTTAATAATTTGAGCTGTTAAAGAATTAATGAGTAGCTTTTTTTTGGAACCTAAATTCTTCCAATATTGCATTTTGTCGAACCATGCAAACAAAATGGATCGTAGGGATTATATTTATTAAAAAATAATATGTTCATACTTCTTTTCTTTTAAAAGAAAATATCACATGTTATATTAAATATCCAACCACATTATATATTTGAGAAAATAAATTTATTTTGGTATTGAAAATTCTTAAATTATTTTTTCATGGTTTTCCTTAATATATTTGAAATATTTACATTGTCTTATATAATAATTTAGTTTACACAAATATTAAAAGAAAAATATATGAACATACTCGGGTATTGCAATAAAATAAATAATTATATTGCAATAAAATAAATAATTACATGTATGACATAAATCAAAGTTTAAACAAATACTCATTGATACCATTAAAGATAAATATGATTGTTGATTGATTTAGTAATTAATTCATTGTGAAATTGAGAAATAATCAAATGTAATAGAGATTTAATTGAATGTAAACTTTTTAAATCAAC